AAGAGTCTTCCCCAACTCTGAGCTCACAGAAAGCATAGTTTTAGTTTTAAAAATCATTTAGTCTACATAAGTATTATCTCACATGGTAAGGTCATACCCTTCATAAGAAGCCTTTTGCTTCTTTTGGGTCCCTTTGCATTCATTGGTTGATAGCAACTTCTTCAACTTTGAACAACTGAGCATTTCCACAAAGTCTTAATTATACAATTGGGAATTCACAAGGAATATGTAATAGTGAATTTAAGCCAGGTTGTTAGGATCATAAGAAATGACTTTTAGAGTATTGGCTTTAGTTTAGTCATTTTTGAGGTATAGTAAGCTGGACTCAAGTCTCAGTTAATGGGAAAGCCCAAGACACTAGCTGTTTAGGTTCCTAGAGGAATAAGGGGTATTCTAATTAAAAACACTCTATAAAAAGGAAGGAGAGTTCAGCATATTTTAAAAAACTGAAGGGTCAGAGATTTTACCCTACTTGCATGCTAACAAGTCAGCCTGCCTGTGTCAGGGATGCTGGCAGAAGACAAGACACCTAGGTCAGAAACAAAGAACTGTGTTATTCACAGCACAGCAAGCACTGTGAGCTTCATGTTTGCATTCCTTTCCCTTGCCTTCCAACTCCCAAAGTAAGACATCAGAGTGGTCCCAGGTGGATGCTATATCCACAGTAGTTTTGTGCCACTACTGAGGAACCCAGACTTGGGGAACCCAAATCTTTTATAATGGACTGAAAGCAAACCTGACATCTGTCCTAAGAGGAAATATAATCTGTCTTCAAAGCAAACAAATCTTCCCTCTGCTCTGGAGGGAGACTCTATGTCTTTCACAGCTATTAACTATAAAAAACATCTTAGAAAATGTAGTCCAGAACAAAGGCCATCAATACCTCTGCTCACAAAATGTGCAGAAATGTGAGAAACCCATTGAGTATTGCCTCTGAGTAAGTTCATGTTAGCCATTAGGGAATAATCTTGCACATAGTTGTAGCAGAGATAATTAATTTACCTAGGATTGATTTTAATCTGTGGCATCACCGAACTCTTCTGGGAAATTAACTCAACAGGTAAATATTGATGCTGAAAGTTGAGATTAGAAAGCATTTAGCATCTACTGAATGACCAACACTGTTGGAAACATGAAAAGAAGGTACAACCCATACCTTTCATTTTACTCAGAGATAAGTAGACACACAGAGCCCATAGGACAGCAGTATAGCCTGCCTAGCTCCTTAATGGTCCCTGTGATCTAATTTCAGGATGAAAGATTGGGAAGTTGCCTCTGAATTGTTATTTCCCAGACATGCCCATATATTACCGTTTTAGCAGCTAAAAAGCATTACCAAATTTCTCCTTGATGTTCTTTCACTCAGTAGAACAGATATTATAAGTTGTAAGAAAACACATTTTTCCATGAAATTAAATAAAGCTATTTTCTTTTTCAATGAAAAAAACAAACACTTGAATTTTTTTTCCTGAGTTAGACCAAAAACTGAAAAATAAAAATAGCTACTCACTGCTAATCACATCTAAGTAAGAATTAATGGTACTATAAACTTGGAAATTCTAAATGAACTGTCAACCTCACACAATACAGTCATAGGCCAGATTTCACTGAAATTCATTTAAAATGAAGAATAACTTCTTTCAAATGATCCTGCTGGCTTCCTTTTTGTTTTAGAAATCAATTTTATGATATAAATAAACCTTAATTCTTTAGGGTTAGATATTTCATGGAAATTGCTCAGCTCCTTTGAAAGTTATCATGGAGCAAATGAAAAAGTAATGGTGGATTGAAGCCTACATCTCTTTCCTTTAATACACCAGTGGTATTTACAAACACATACCTTTTTTTTTTTAAACAGAAAATCTAGCACATGCCTTCTCAACAGAGGCACTATCATGCCCAAGGTGATGAATTCTTGGGGAGGTGGATAGAGAAAAATCTTAGATAGGGTTTGTGGAAGGCTACAGTACATGACCAGATACACAGCATATGATGGGGCGATTAGGAAGATGTCTAGATGTCTAGACTCCCTTGGAGGAGGGAAAAACAATAATGAGAACAAAGCAAGGTTGAGAAACAGTATTCTAGTATATTTTGATACGTGTTTCCACATGGCAACCACTAAATTAAGCTAAGGGGTTTATTTTTAATCCCTCTCTACTTTGTCATATTTGTTTTTCCCTTATATTTAGTTTATACACAATATAATAGCATTAAAGAATTTTAATGAAATGGCATCCATAATGTTGTTACTTATAATTTTTTTCATATTTGCATATTTATGTAAAAGTATAAATACATACTGTTTTGCATTCTGTTCTTTTCATTGGTATACATATATTCATCTTTCTACATAGTCTTTATAATGAGTTTCTATGAGGATGTGTGAAATTCAGTTATACTGCAGTTCTCTTCTGATTGTACTTCTTTATCTCTAAAAATTCCTTCCATGTCTTTTTTGCAGTTCTGCCTCTCCTGACTGCCTATTAAATGTTGGGGTCATCAGGAATTGCATCCTGCGGCCCCCTCCTCTTCTCAGACATTATCTCAAGGGAGTCTCATCCATCTTCCAACAGTACTCAGACCTTTACCTCTAGCCAGACTTCACTCCTGGGTTCCAGACTTTTTACTGCGTATCTCTACTTAGCTCTTCTTCAAAGACAAATCATCACATTTTCTCAAACCTGTTTGTTTAACCCTGGCCATCTAGACTCTTTCCCTTGCCCTTGATCTCACCCTCCAGCCAGGTCCTATTGACTGTATTAATATCTTCGAAATATCCACCCTCACTATTCACTCAGCTATCCTTTTAGTTCAGTCCTTTATCTCTTACTTAAGACAATTATACTACACTCCTAAATACCCTCCTGCCTTCTGTCAGGCCATCCTCTGAGTCATTGTCCATAGTACTGTCTAACAAATCTCTCTAAAATGTAAATCTGATCAAGTCACTTCCTATTGTTTATAGCTACACTGTCCAATACAGTAGCCATGAGCCATATATAGCTACTGAGTGCTTGACATGTAGCTAATCTGAAGTGAAATGTGCCAAAATATAAACACGTTTGATTTCTAAGACTTAGTCTGATAACAAGAATGGAAAATATATGAATTTTTTGTGTCTATTGAATTAAATATTTACTTAAATATTAAAGTTAATTATAACTGTCTCTTTTAATTGTTTTTAATATATGGTTCCTAGAAAATTTAAAATTATTTATGTGACTCACATTTGTGGCCTGCCCTAGATATCTATTGGAGAGTGCTAGCTAATAGGATTGTGCTCACAGATATCATGGTCTTTGATTATCTGGCCACCATGTGCCTACTCTACTTTGTCTTCCACTAGCTGTCATGCAAAAAGGGTTTGCCTTGGTGTCAAATTAATCAGAGGTCATACTGGGGCGCCTCCACATGCCAGCTGTGTGATCTAGAGCAAGATGCTTAAGCTCTCTATGTTCCAGTATCCTCAGCTGAAAAACAGAGATAATACCTATTTGAATGTGTTATTGGGAGGATTAAAAGATATAACAAATATTAAGTGTGTACTGCATAAAATATAATTCTCCCAGGTCTGTTCCAGCCATGCCAAACTACTCTCAGTTATTTCATTTCTATTGTAAAGAGCAGGTGATTGTTCAGATGTCCCTGCAGCCTTAATATTCCTACAAGTGTACAATCCCCTTTCCCTGTTGAGTCACTGGGGTTTCACTTTCTTTTTATTTTTCCTGTTTTCTCCAAATATTAGGTCTGAGGACCTCTGTGCTTCTCTTTATTTTTTCATTCAATATTCTCTCCTGGAGAACTCATTTTAAAAGAGTAAACGATGGTAGCATTGAAGAAATCTCAAGTCAAATGAAGAGCATAATCAAAAAAGATTTTAGCTTATTCTTGCCCCATAAGAGAGTATTTTTCTTCTGAGATCTAATACCCCAATAGCCATTTTTTAAACAAATTAGGATTAAAATTTAACTTTGGAATAGCATCAGAAACAATTTAATTTCTTTCACCGCTCCCTCTTTTTAACCCTCCTGCCCACAAGTGTCCTCTACTCTGGACCCACACAGTTAGCCACCACTTAAATTCGCAACCTAATTAGGGTCCTTTTCATCCGCTAGGCTGCATTGGGAAGAGGTGCCTCAGCTCACTGTGGATTACTCACAATGTGTAGAGTGTCTGGTGATGGATACCTGGAGACAAATGTTCTAACAAATCTTAAAAGTGTTTTTGATGGCCAGAATTGTCAGCAGTAAGAGTAGGGTGAAATGTTTAAAATGTGTTTCCATTAGGAATTTCTATGAACATCTTCTGAGTGCTATGCTCATGGATTCTGAACAGTTCTTTCCCATAGGGAAAGCTTAGAAACACAACAGCATTCTAAAAGAGATTATGAGAATCTGGCTAATGTCTCTCAAATGTAAAATGTGGCCTTTCAAATGATGTGGTCACCTTTTCCTTCTACAATGTCAGCATTTCGAAGTAGGTAAAGGATATAGATTAGGTAGGAATTGAATGCAAATGTGTTTTGCAAATAGTGTCTTTTGAGATCATCGCAGATGATGGTTGAATGCTGAAGGTATTAATACAATCAGTCTTTAACCTTGTGTAACTCCGCTTCATCAAATCACGCCCTGTACATTGATTGCATTAAGCCGGGTCAGTGGTTTCTTGCTTAGGAATATCTTACAAGAATCTTAACAGGAAGGCAGCAGTAGCTGATCAGCTACTGTTTATTTGCATACTGAGCGTGTCATCAATAATACAAAAGACAAGGTCTTTAAGTTGAAAGAACAGTGGGATTGGCATGAATTTTGCTTAATGGTGCATAATAAGCGAAGTAGTCTGTGGTGCCAGAAACTGACAGTATCCATTATGTTAAAACAGATATATGTCTTTAATTTAGGGGTATTATGTAAATCTGACAGGAGTTTTTCCCTTTATTTTCCTGTAGTTTAACTTTAATTGCTCCAAGATTAATTCTGATTTCTCCCTTCCTCCAGAGGGTGATGAGACTGGCGTGATGGATAATCTTCTAGAAGCCCTACAATCAGGAGCAGCATTCCGAGACCGCAGAAAGCGAATTCCAAGGAATCCAGGTAAAACCCGTTCCAGCTCACATGGTATTAAAAAATGTGACCACTTAGAGCGAACTACAAAAAAAAAAGCAAAAAACCTTCCCCGTGAAGATTTTGTTTTTTAAACAGTTGATCTCAGTTCCTGTGTGAAGTCTCAGCAGGCTTCTATAACTATGTGATCACAGGTTTCACCTTGGTAAAAGTATCTTCAAATAACTGTAGACTTTGCCAAAAAAATTCAGAAACAAGGCCCCCCCTCTGTGTTTAATAGAAAATATTTTAATTGTTGTTTTATGAGCATGCGGTTTTGGTGGACGGTGGTGTAAAACCATAAATGTAATTAAATCATGAAAAGTAATTGTCCCTAAGGATGTCACATTAGCTATTTACAGGTAAGGAAACTGAGATAATGCTTCTTTCTAGAGGCTATTTTGGCTTTGCAGTATAGTCTATTCTCCATGTTAATAAAGAGAGAAGAGACACAGTAATCCAGGATCCCCAAAAGTCCCAAAACATTGAAACCCCTTTTTTGGGTGTTTTTGTACAGAACAAACCCAGACTATGAAAATTGATCTTGGGAAGAAACAACAAGAGAAACAAAAAACTTCCCTCACTCAAATGGAGCTAGAATGTTGTCCACCCCCTCTCTTCATACCCTGTGGCTGAGGTAAATAATAGAATAGCTCCTCTCAGAATAATCCAAGTAGGTTGAGCTATCCACTTCCTCTAAGGAAGTTTTATATTTTTAATTCATATCTTTCTTGAAGAAGAGGAAGAAATTAGGTGTGTTGATGTTAAAAGTCCTCTTCATGGCCTGTAGAGCTAGATGAAGGAGTAAATGAAAAAAAAATGAAAATGGATAGTAATTGTGTAAACCCTACTTAATTTAAATTAAAAAGAGTTGCCTTGAATAGCCAATAATTCAAAAATATTCTGTATTTGGACTGGAAACTGTCATAAGTCATTGTGTTGGCTTGGCAAGCTTTTGGCAATGGTGAAATTCATGGTAGCAGACAGCATCAGTTTTATTCATTTGTCACATTTGGGTGAATCCTGATGGGTAGATTAGACTGAAGGTAAGATTTGGTTGAGAGGAGAGAAGTGTTTTGGTTGGAGTGTAAGACTCCTTTGTATGTATGAAGGCATACAAAAAGAGTGGGCGACTAGAGAAAAGAAAATTAAAATCCCTGTTTATATGTTCTTATTAATTTTTTAAGGTAATGTTACATAGCGGAATGGTAGGAGCACTACTAATTTGTGACTATAAGCCAGCCATTCCTCCTATCCTCAGTCCTTATCTGTCAAAGGAGATTGTTCTACCATGCTATCAGAGGCCCCTTCGACCTCTTAAGGAAAATAGAAATGTTCACTGCTCTTTCTTGAACTATCAGAGCATTAATAGGCAGTGAAAAGCAAACTGAAGTAATTTTTCTATCAGTTCAGTTCTCTGTTAAGGAGCTGATAAGTAAAAGCATGTTATTTGCCCTAAAAGAACGACCATCATCTTCCTGGGCTGTTTATTTTTAAAATACATTTGCTAAGGCCCCTTGTCTGATTAGTCTCACACCTCATAGTGACTCCAGGAAGACTGTACAGAGAGAGAGCTCATTCCATGGGTTTCTGTGAGTTTGGTACTCAAGGGAATATAGTAGTCAACTGTGAAACACTAAGAATATATTCACAAACTGTATAATTTTGTAGTACTGATTCCAAGTAATCTAAATTGGGATCTCCTTCGCTTTGTAGCTAGAGTGCCTTGCCTCCTTGAATGAACACATAGGGTCAAAAGTATCAGCTAATTTAGCCTTTTAGTCCCAGGTGGCAGCAGCCAATGCAAGTGTCCAGTGGTAAAAAGAAACTAGAAGACAGACAGAGGCAGTGATTGGTAAAGCATCTTGGACAACAGAGCTTGAGGTAAGGGAGAGGGGAAGACAGGCACAGAGTTAGCGGGTCTGGCAAAAACTCCCATCCTCTTGCCTCATTTTAGAAGCCACAGAACCAGGCACTTGTCCAGATTTTCTCCTTTCTGCCTATCCTAGCTAGATCATCTTTTCCTACTGGTCCCCTTTTGTTTTCACTTTCTTAGGCACCTTATTGGGTTCTTTTCCAAGATCCCATTGACTTTATGTTGTTATACTTTCCCTGCTCAACACCAGCATTCTTGCTCCTTTTCAATAACCTCCATTTCAACATGATGAGATAAAAGCAGAGAAACCAAATTATAAAGAAGACTGTTTTCTCAAAGTAAAGTAAAATACGAGAAAATAGCAAAAAAAAAATCTAAAATCAGAGTCAACCACAAATAGCAAAGATGTACTGCTCTGCTTGCCATCTCCATTATCATCACTTACAGATGGAAACTACAGCATGTAAAATACAGAGCTCTACAATTGTGCCTCTGATTGCAGTGTTTTCAATTCCATACTTAAACAAAATGGGGTGATAGTCTCTATTCTTCATTAGAAAATCAAAATGTTAATAAATGGTATGATTAGTTGCCTAAATTGCATATCTTCCACATTTAGCCTATGTCCCCTTCCCAAGAGCTAACCCATTAGGTGACTCAGAAGGAGCTCCCAAATACTCCCTCTAGTCCATTCACCTGAGTGCGCTGTTTCAGTTAAGGGCACCAAAAGACATTTCAAGGGAGACTATCATATCAGGAATGATATTGAAAATAATAATAACTGGTATAGCATAGGCCCCAACCAGTCAGAATGTACACAGGCAAAAAGTAGCCACTGTGGTTGGACTAGTGCATACTGGCTGAATATCAACCCAGATTATAGGCTTTACTGATATCAAACTCAGAGATTAGCAAATGAGCCTCCTAAGCATTCATCAATTTATTGTATATCCGTTCTGTGAAAAGTACTATGCTAGACATGAAGGAAGATGCAGAAATAATTAAGAATTCCTTAGGTGTAAGAGCCTCGATTCTTGTAGGAAAGATAAATAGTATGGAAAGACTACAGAATAAGGTAGATGATAATAGGTATTATACAAGAGGTGTTAATAACATACTATATAGTTCAGAAAATGGAAGTATCATGCTTTATTGGATATATGAGAAAAGGAATCATGGAGGAAGAGACTTTGAAGGATGAGTATGGATTTCAGCAGTGGGAGTTGAAGCAGGGAGAATGGGCATGTTAGTCAAATGAAATGTCATTAAGAAAAACAATGCATTTTGGGAGAGTGACAAATATAGTACAGCTAGTAAGAAAACAGGCTATGTAAAATGTAAAAGTATGGAGATAATTCAGGAAAGTAGGTAGGTGCCATATCATAGAGCATTTGAATAAAAGACTGAGGTGTTAGCATATAATTCTTTAGGCAATGAAGATATATTGAAGGATTTTAAGCAGTGGACGAATATGATCAAAGCTGTGTATTAGGATATTTAATCTATGGGAGTGAGAGAGATGAATTAGGATTCTAAAGTCATATTCTTAGTCAAAGAAAATAATTTAGGGGAAGAGAAGTGGCCAGGAGTCAAAGATAATTCTAGGGTTTTGAGTTTGATTAGTGGGGAGGGCAGCTGGGTTACAAGAGAAAACTATTAAGATCAGGAAAAGGAGTGGTGATAGAAGATAAATTCAGTTCAGGGCACATGAAACTGAAAGTGGTAGCAGAACACTGAGGTCAAGGCATCCAGAAGTTTCTTGGAAATACGAGTGTAGATTTCATCACAACAGAGTTGAGTTCCTGAGATACTGGTTATAGTGTGGAAGTGGAAGATATTGTTCGAGAGGTTATTAACAGAAAAGAGATCCAAAAAAAGAACCTTGAGAATGCCTCCACTGAGGGACTATAAGTACAGTGAGCAAAGATGGTAGACTAGGAGCAGTTGGGCAGTGGGAGAAGAATCAAGGCATTATTGTTCTAGAAGCCAAGGAAGAGAGAGGTATTAAGAAAGCAGAAAAGGTGGGCATTTACTACAGTGACATGTGATGTGGTGGAATCGAAAAGGATAAAGACCTGTGATTTGCCATTAGGGAGCTTTCTAATGACTTTTTAAGGGAATTCTTTTAATATTCGGATGGAACTAGGAGCCAGAATTCAGGAACTAAGCAGTGTGTAGATGGTGAGACTATAGGGATTGATAGTATTCATTCAACAATTGAGCAATTCTCTTGAATGCCACCTGGGTGTCCTGCACTGGGTTAGGTACTGAGGATGCAATATCAAACAGGACATTTGCCTCAAGGAGCTCACATACCATTTGGGAAAACAGGAATTCAATCCATGTGATAAAATTACGACACAATCATATATGTGCCATAAATGAGATTGGGGGTGCATGTTTGTGCAGCACAGGAGTTAGAGTAACTTCCATCTCACCCCCTGACCTCTTGCCCGTGCATCCCTTGAATATGGACTATGCTTTCTAGATGTTTGGTGGGTAAAAGAAGAACCTCAGTTTTCCTAGTATGGATCTATCACCTATGAATTTTGCTTAATCTTTCCGAACTCTGTTACAGGCCTTGTTAGCACTTAAGGTCATAAATTCTATGTGTTTACACACCACTTTGTAAAGAGTTGCCCATCAGTATTCCTGACTTTGTCTTATAATATCAAAGGTAAACTTTGGAGGAAAAAGAAAAAACTAGCGAAAAACCTCACAGGAGTGGAAACCATACTTTAAGTGTAAATACACAATGCCACATCTGTTTTATTACTGAATAGCTCTAGGTACTTAGAACTTGCTTCTCCTTCCTCAAACAACTTCTTCATTCCTTGCTCACTGTAAGTAAATATAAACAGGCCTCTTAGCAATAGATACCTAACTTAGCTATTTTGCCTCCGACTGGATTTTGATATATAGTTCTAGACATTAAAACACACACACACACACACACACATACACACATACACAAGAAGCTTTATATAGAAATGAAACCAAGAAGCACAGGCAATGTAATTTGGTGTTAGAACCACACAGGGCACCTAAGAAAACTAAATGAAGAAACAGAAGAAATTCAGGACACATGATCCTAGTTTATGGATCAGCAAGGTAA